TTTGACACTTTTCAGATTTTAGTCCAAAAAGATAAGGAATGAACCTAATATTATGAAATGCCTTTTACAGGCTTGAGTGTAGCGCCAAAAACATTTTTCACCCGGGAAGGGCAACATTTTTTGGAAGAAACGAAATCACCATAAACCTTTTATGTATTGTGAGGAGGTACTTTGCCTTGTGCTCGTTCACTGCCAGGCCACCAACTTTCGTTTCCTTTAATAAGCTGCCATCCCTGGGTTTCAGGTCATTTTTTATCTGCGAAACTGAATCGCCTTACCGGCATATTAGTTATGCGGGGATCCCAAGCGGCTTTAAAATACACAAAAAATGTGGTGTGTGCTGATTTTCGTATCAAGTGTCTTCTCCGGAATTTGACGTGCTGTGAAGCTTAGGCCAATAGTGAAATTACCAGGTCTGAAGCCACACGAATTAGGTCCAATCAATTGGTTCGAGATGAAAGGTTTCAGTCTTTCGCACTGTATCGCACTGAACACACACACACACACGCACACCGATTACAAACGATTGACCAAGTCTCTTAAATATCAATTTTCTTCTGCCTCTGGTTATCTAACACCAATAAGCGTTTGGACTTAAACGAAACGTTCAAAAAGTAATTAGTTACAGCAGCTACCGACAATAGCCACAGTCACAATTTCTTATAATGGGTAACGCAGGTGGGCTCCCAAATTTTAATATACTATATGTACAGTCAAACTTCGCTATAACGAATCCCCCCCAAAAAAAACGAAAAATTACTTCGTTATAAAGAAAAATGAAAATAAATTGCATTCTGTAAAACTTTTCGTTGAAAAGTGATCACTGATCAGTTATTTTAGTTTGAACTAACAGTTTCCTATCGTGCTCTTCAAAAAAAAATGTCTAATAAGCACTTTAAGAGAAGCAAATACAGTGTTTCTTACTTTTTTTTCATTTCCAACGCTTTTTGCTTTTTAAAAACTTGCGTATAAACTACTGGGAGGAATCCAAATGGCGAGGCAATGTCCTTTTTTGAAACTTTTGCCCTTTCAACTGTTTTACGAGCAACAGATTTTTCCACGGAAACACTTATAAGCGGAGCCATTTCTTAACTGATTATTGCGGCATATCAAAAGTAAAGCAATAGATGCTGCCAAAATATGAGCGATGGCACATTTTCGATATTTTCAAAATTTTGCAATTTCACTGAACACAGTATACCTACTTTTTGGTAGGTTTGGATAAATGGATATTGCAAAATGCTTTAACTTTCAAGTTAAGGCTGCAAAAATTGTTAAGTTATAAAGAAAAAATCCGCTATAAGGAAAACAAAATACACTAAAAATAGAACGAAAACGCAACATTCTTGAGGATGATTCGTAATAGAGCGAGGCCTCGCTTATGCAGAGGTTCGTTATAGAGATGTTTGACTGTGCTATGTATGTACATACATACATACATAAATACACGTCCAACAAGTTGGCACTTCTCGTTTTATTTTCGCATGCATATTTAGGTTCATTTTCTTTGTCTTTTTCTCAACTATTATTACTCAGGTCAATTCAAAAGCCACCAAATATGCCACAAAATAACATTTCACATATTCGTAACATTTGTATGTACATACATATGTATGTATGTAGCTGTTTCAGTCGCAAGTTGTTGGCGTACAAAATTGTTCGTGCAACTCAAAAGCACGAATTAGAAATTTCATAGCAAACAGTAGAGCGATCGAGCACCAATTGCAGAAAGCTGCTGCAATGCAGTGAAGCATGCGCATGCGCCGCATTGCAATAGCTGCAGCCGAATGCAGTTGCATAAAAATCAAAAAGACTACACTAAGCTGAGCTTTTGAATGTTTGTTTGTGGATTTTTTGAATGGTTGCATGTTTTCAACAGAGTTTTTTTTTATTTACATACGTTTGTAAATGTAAATGTCCTGTGTAACTATTGTTGCATAAGAAAATAACTGCTTTCGGTAAATTTTTATTTTTGCTCTTTTTTGAGTGTAGATATACATTTACATTCATAGAAACACACACACATATCTGTATGCACTTAGTAGATACTTATGGTAAAAGAATGGGTGGTTTTTCATTCAAATCGTGTAACTCCAGGCCGGAATCGTGTTCATTGTAGAAAATATTTTTTTTTTTTTTTTTGAAATTACACTTTGTATTATTACCATTTTTAAGTGAAAACATTCGCCTATTTATTTGTTTAATTAAAACTGGTTCAAAGTTTTTTACAAAATTATTTTTTTTTAATAATTAATTTTAAAGCAAATGAGTTTTTCTTGTTTTTGTCCACTGCTACATACCTCTTTTTTTTAAATCCAATATTTTTAAAGGCTTTAGGTTTCACACTAGCGTTTAGCTTTCCATTATCCTTTTTAGCGGCCAAAAGAAATTATCCGAATCATGTAGTTCGATTTAAATAAAACTAACGAAACGACTGTGTCGCCCGACTGCCAAGCGCGGAATAAACTGTGGCTACTACGCAAACGTGTAGATAGATGGCAGTAAACCCCCGCCGCAGAAAAGTACCAAAGCAGCAAAGCAATTTCTCGACAGCAATGCAGCATTTACATAGCTCTCATATAAGTTAATTTAGTTGTGTGTACGCAGCCGCAGCAAACGTCCCTCTTGGAAAATGAAGAATGCTTTCAACTGGATGTGGAAACTCCGAAAGAAGCTATCACAATTTACCGTTTGGCCGAACGAAATTTTAAATGATAACAAAAAAAATAAAAAATATTGGTAATTTTTATTCGCCCTAATGAACATTTTTGAGTAAATTGAAGTCTGGAACATGATAAACAAGTAATTTTTAAGCAAAAAACAAAACCGAAAATCATATTTTTGACAATCGCCCAGTTGTAAAATAAAAAAATCGAGGCGGCGTTACCCAATTTAAGTTATTTGGTAGAAGGGATTTTATAACACAAATTTGGGATTATATATAAAAAGTTGTAATAACATTTACCTTTTAAAAATAATTCAAATCTTATCTTAAAAATTTTACATTAAATCCGACAACTACTTCGCAAAAACTTTATATGTATTTAGGTTAATAAAATTTTAGTGAACATATTTGTCTTAAAGTCTTAAAATTGTTCAATATAAAGAAATAAGAGCCAATAATATATGTCCTACTAGTTTAAAAAAAAATTTAAATATAAAATGGTATTAGCCGTTATTTTACGTTTAAAAATGTTAGGACTTTAACACATTATGACGCTTGATACGTCTTGTGAGTCCCCCATATGTTTTTTTTTTTTACTATTTAACTATATATATCGTTGTTTATTTGGGTTAAATAAAAATATATTTTACTGTATATAGCTTACTCTACGTGTACGTGTGTGTGGCCCACTCAATTCATAAATTGAATGGGCGAAAAAAACGGCATGGCCAAACAAATTCTAAATATATAAAATAAAATAAAACTTATTAATATACCACGCTTTTATAAATGGACTAATAAGTAGAAAATAATACTTCTCAGTCCCATAGAATTTGTTTTGATAACTTTTGATTTTGAGTTTTTAGCAAAAGTCATTATAAACAGTTTATGAGATTAAATATGAAAAACGTGTGGCGCATTTAATAGACTTGAATTGATATGAAAAGTCTATTACATGCGAATTTTCGTCTTTTGAAGTACATTTTACGGCTTCCGAAGTGCATTTTACGGTTTCTGAAGTACAATTAACCATTCTGAAGTACATTTTACGTTTCCTGAAGTACTGTTGACTATTCTGAAGTACATTTTACAATTTCTGAAATACATTTGACGCTTTCTGAAGTACTCTTGGAAAAGGTGTAGCCCTTAGAAATTTTTTGCTGGGCTATGCGTTAAATCTTCGCAAATTTTATCCCTACCGACACCGAAGATATTTTCATCCAACTTCACTGACTTTAAATTTTTTTTTTTACTTTTTCAAGAAACAAAAATTTTACTGCTAGTGAATCTGGTAGCATGATTTTAGTCAAATATCATAAACTTGTTAAAAGTCAAGTGGTCAGCAACAACAACGAATGTCAATAAATGAAACTACCTTCTATTTTACCTACCTTTTATTAGCTCGGGATGTAACTATGTAATATTGATGCGCATAAAAGATGCAGCGAATTCTATTATCAAGTTACATACCTGACACCTTATAATAGCGAGGTTTTAGTTTTTTAAATTATAATTTTTTTTTGTATCATGCTTTCTACAATGAAGATAAATTAATATTTCATATCAATAATTGCATGAAAAATTATATTTCTTATCCTCATTTGATTAAAAAGCAAAAATATTTAACATAATTTTTTTTATTTGCAACAGCTGACGACAGACGCATGCGATCTTTCTGCTTTCTGTTGTCGTTGAAACTCGATGCCAACGCAACGCCAAAGTTGTAGGTATGCGGACCGGCCTCTATTCTTTGTTTACGCAAATTTTCCCATATTTACGTATACATATGTCCTTGAACAACAATCCACAAATACATTTTTTCACCAAGGATTATATTTCGTTTAGGTATACAGCATAGCTCATAGCAAACTATTTTGGAGGTGTTAAAAAGTGCTTAGTTGTATTTTGTTTGTGCGGCACAAACAATTATACTATCCTCTTTATTTATCTGTGCAAGTTTCCATGTTTTTTTCTTTAAATAATGTATTATAGAATAGGGATTGATATTCAATGTAAACGATTCAAAAATCTGATCGAGAAGTAATAAATATTTCTATTTGTTTATAAAAACTTTTTTAAAAAATTAAAAATTGTATAATGATTATTTCAAAAATTGAAACAATCACGCTAAAGCGTGTCTAATTAACTGTTATCCTGAAAAAAATCAGCAAGATACATGCTATGAATCAGTGGATAATAAAGAATTACTGAATTCATAAAAAAAAATCAATAACATTAACTCTTGTAAAACTTCGAATGTTGCAAATTATTTATTTTTTTTTATGGTTGTAAACCGAATAAAGTGATTTATGCGAAAAAATCTTGATCAATTTTGGGTGGCCCACTTGAGAGATTTTCACTCATATTAGAACTGTTTTTGTGGACAACGATGTTACCATAACTTGAAGCTGAAGCAATTGTGGCAAATCGCCTTTTATTTCTTCATTATCTGTTAAAAAAAAAAAAACAGTAAGCTAAACAACTTTTATTTCCATTTCTTTCTGTTTTTGTATTTCACCTATGGGTTTCACGTTTCCCCCAAAAAAAAGTTAAAGTAAATTTTACTACCATATACCCAGGCAAACCGCTCTAGTCATTCTCATCTATTGCTTGAAATTCATTTTCTATTTTAATACCATAATTATTTTCTTTTAATTGCTCCTGGTTTAGTTGCGCCATTATGCCATTCGTAACGGTGTATGCTTTGCTAGTGGTGGGCTCCAATGTTTCGATAGTTAGGTCGTCTTCTATTTTAATACCATACTGATTTTCTTTTACTTGCTTCTGTTTTGGCTGCACCATTATACCATTCTCAACGTTATGAGCTTTGCTAGTAGTGGGCTCTAATGTTTCGAGAGTCGAGTCGTCTTCTGATTCTTCTATTTCCTCGATTACTCCGCATGCCTCATTGTTTTTAGCCCTGTTGGTTTCATGTTAAGCGTCGATATAGGAATCTTCGAAATCAAACTATGTTAACTTACCTGCGACGTTCTCCTCCATGAGTTTTTTTATGCATCTTGTAACTATACCGATCGGGAAAATTCTTGCCGCACCTGCTACATACAATGGGTGTTTCAGAATAGTGCTGCTTTTTTACGTGTCTCCGCAGGACCGCTTTAAGACCGCAGGTAGTTGGACATAATGCACAGTAGAAGACAGGTCTGTCGTCCACGTTGTGTATAAGTTTATGACACTTAAGTGTGTTGGACTGCGCGAACCGCGCATGACACATATCACATTCGTAGGGTCTCTCACCAGTGTGTGTGCGCAAATGTCGTTGCAGTTTAAAGTTGTCTGGCGAGGCGTAGCTGCAATGAGGACACTTGTGCGGACGTTCACCGGTGTGCGAACGCATATGACGCTGTAACTTACTGATTTCTACGGAAGAATAGTCACATTCACTACACTCATGACGCTTTGCAAAACTATGCTTGTATCGAACGTGCCTGGCCAAGTCTCCAGATCGGATAAAGCGACTGTCACACGACAAGCACGCAAATGGCTTATTTCTCTGATGTGCATTCATATGATCCTGTAATTTGTTTTTGTTCTTGAAGACACGACCACATATTGAACAAGCGTGAGAACAATCGTCGGAATGAGATTTCATATGGCGGGATAACATGAATTGTTCACTTGTTTGGAAATTACAATGTGAGCAGTTAAGAACGGCCGATTGAGAAGAATCTGTAGCTTTAATAGTCATGACTTTCAATAATGGCATATCCTGACCTTCTTGCGATTTAAGTTCATCCCCCAGCTCGTCTAACTCATGTGTTTCATCATTTGCTTCAGTATAATTATCCAGAATAGAATCATTATTTAATGTTGCAGGCGTCGTACAAATAACTGCAAAGAAAAAAATAATTGTGAGACAATTATGTATTAATTCAATGACAGCATAAGCAGGGTGAGTACCCTTGCGCTTTGGTGGTCGTCCTAATTCGGGTTGTATGGGTTGTAGATTTGTTGATCCCTGCTTAGCACTATCTAGTTCATCGGACAGACAGCGCGTAATTTCCGTACGTGTCGAACGCTCTAGTGCATCCATTTCTTGAGCTTTACTATCTCCATCAACTGTTTCAGACATTTTAGCCTTAGTTTTACGATGATCTTTTGAGTTTACTATTGACTGGTGGTACTCCAAAGGATGCAGCTCATTTGATAATACAAAAACGAAGGTTTTTCCAAGTAGATGTGCAAACGATGCATCGATATTTTTGAAACATCGATAACATCGGTTCGAAATTCGATGTTCTCGCTCGCGTTCGCTACATTTTAGTTATATCAGTGGTAATATTTGTGTGGGCTTATTATATCTTGATATAAGCATTTGTAAGATAGCTTTGAAAATGTATTTTTGCCATATTTCATCGCTTAAAAAGTTTAGAAAATAGGCTATTTTACATCCAAGTACATAATTACAAATATTTTAACAGGAAACAGCTCAATTTTTCCTTTTATATTAAAATAATAATGATGTTGCAGCCACGAAGCTTTCGTGCAAATGAAAATGTAGCTGTCAAACTACCAAATTGCCGGCAATAGGTGGCAAGATATAAGCTCTGATATATATTGCTCTTGAAGAGCAATGAGCGGTCTCCATTGGCTATTTATATTGTATCAAGATATAAACTTTTTTTTTATTAATGAATCATGCTTAAAGTCACAAAAACAGCACCCTTTGCCAATGTCTGGTCAGAACATTGTATTAGAGGGTTAAGCATGAACCACTTTACTTGACTTTTAACAAAAATCTATCAAAATGAAAAAAATACCTTTTTACCAACTTTTTTTACCAATTATAGGAACAATTTACCAAAGTGGCATCCCTGGTTACGCGATCAAGAGATTGCTTTCAAGTTTCACCCAGTAGAAAAAAGAGTGACTAGGTCCATTCCTCTACAATCGAGACCGGATCTGGTAATTAGAGTAAGCGAACAATTTTCTCTCAAAAATGGTAAAATGTACAAACCCACGGGAACGCAAAAAATAACTTCTGACGTCAACACATTGACGCGACGGAGCTCGCATCTGCCTCGGGAGACCAGGACAACAATAGCCCAACTTCCGCTCTGGCTACTGCAGCAGGCTAAATTCCTACCTGAGTAGGTTAAATGCGGATGTGCCGAACGAATATCCGGCATGCGGAGAGACCGCTCACGACTCGAAACATCTCTTCGCATGCCCGGAAAACCCCACAACCCTAACGGCGTCGTCCCTATGGACCGACCCCATAGAGGCTGCACGCTTCTTGGGGCTACAACAACAACAACAACAACAACGCAAAAAACCACACTTCGTGCCAAGATTTTGAGAAATGCAAACACTTGGAAATTGAATTTTAGTTTAAAAAATTTTATTGTATTCGACGGTAGAATACATTGGATAACGAATGCTCCGTTACGCTGGAGAATGGCCAAGTTATCGAGCCGAAGACCACCCTCTTACCCCATTCATTATCGAAGGAGAGTTTAGGATAGTTTTTAACCGGGTGTTGAAATGAAATCTACCTCTTCTTTATGTGGTGTAAAAATTTCATAGCTGTACCGATTACTTTGAACAAAATATGTATTAATTTTTACTATGGGAGTATATTTAAATTAAAACTTTAAATATGGTTTTCTCTCGAGTTTTTTTGTTTTTGGAGTTATGACAGAATTGAACGTAAATGAGTGTTATGTTCATTTACCCGATATTCATATTGGATATCGAAGATAATTTTCGAATATGTATTCACCAAAATGTTTGTTGCGTCATTTCACTATTAAGGGTAATAATCAAACCTTATTAATCAATTATACACCGTATAATGTTTATACATTTAATAAAATGAAATGATATTATAAAAATAAAAACTCTAAACTTTGTAAAAAACTCAGGAAAGTTTTATAAATTTGCATTCTAATGGGCAACTTCCTATGCAGTCTTATAGACCATTCAATTTTCGTAAAACAAAGTGCAAGATTGAAGTTGTTAGAAAATCGTGCCGATTTTTGGCAAATTTTTTGCGGTCGGTGTTATTTTCTTCCACACAAAAAAAAAAATTTTCGAATATACTTCGTATGGAAGAAACTAGGTGAAAAAACTGCCAATAATCAATGCGATTTTTTAGCAACTTCAAACTTGCACTTTGTTTTACTAAAATTGAACGGGCTAAAAAACTGCAACTCATACCCAGTTTCACCAAACAATTTTACACCCAAATTCATAAAAAAATATTGAACTCTTTAACAGCATTATAAATCGAATATTTTTATGAAAACATTACTTTGTAGAGCTCTTTAAACCTCTTTTATTTTTTATGAATAGGGACATGGCGGAATTATACCAGGTGAAGTAATTAGAAGAAGAAAGATTTTGACACTGCCTTATTTGAAAAATTGCCTTTTAAATTTGACTATAAGGCAGCCGAATGTCATGAAATAAGCGAGAAGGCTGCTTTATTACTTCCCCTGTTTATTGCGCCATGGAATAGGGCCATCCAAATTTAAGAGGCTTAGGGCCAATTTCACAATGCGTAGTTAACTCAGAATCGGGAGTTAACTACAGAATTTTGTACTGAAAATCTGAAATTGGCCCTTATAAATTTAAAATTGATTGGGGCGACCGGGCCCTATACATTTTCATGAAATCTGAATATTGATTGAATTTTCCCGTGTTTTGCACAAAGTTTAGAGATTTCATATTTATGATTTTTGGTGTAGTATGAACTAAATTTTTATTAAAAATTATCGAAAAGAAATAAGAATGAAAAAACTTTGCATATATTGCGAAAAATTCTCTGTACCAATACTTTTGTTCGTCACCGTACATATGAATAGTTATGTATGTACATACATGTACTTCAAAGCAGTTAAAAATAAAGTAGAAATTCTTAAATACATTAATTTTCTTCGACTATGTTCAGAAAAACAGCTTCCTCAAATTCATCATCATCTTCGCCTTCTTCGAGCTATATTTGAAGTAGACAAATAAAAAACAACATATTAAATCTCTGTTTTTTTACGGTCAATGATGGTCCATATTTTACCTTGAAGCCGAAACAATTAGCAGCATCCCCCTTGTTTTCATTATTATCTGTAGAAAATAAGAATAAACAAAAATGTTGTATTTACGATAATTTCTGATTTTAAATATATACATTGCAGTAGTGTATTTTACCTGTCGTTTTTACGTTTTCCAAGTTAGTTAAAATAACACAATCATCACCGTCATCCTCTAATTCATCGTCACTTTGCATTACTTTTACGACCATATAACCAGGCAAACCACTCTCGTCATCCTCATCTATTGCTTCAAATTCATTTTCTATTTTAATACCATACTTATTTTCTTTTACTTGCTCCTGTTTTGGTTTCACTATTTTGGCATTCCTAACGTTGTGTGATTTGCTAGTAGTGGGCTCCAATGTTTCGATAGTTATGTCGCCTTCTGCTTCTTCTATTTCCTCGATTATTTCATACTCTTCAAAGTTTTCAACGCTGTTGGTTTCATCTTCCTCGTCGATATAGGAATCTTCGAAATCTAATATATTTTCCCCGTGCTCGGTTTCAACTTTAACTTTTATTTCATTCTTGCCTTGCTCCTCAGCAACATCATGCAACTGCATGTGCCGTACCATATTACCCTTATGGGCAAATACACGCGTACAATATGGACAGTGATGTGTCTTCTCAAGCCTTGGAGGTGGTACGTAATTTTCATTGTGATAAATATTTATATGACGCCCAAGTAGCTGCTTCTGTCGGAAGGTTTGTCCACATTTATCACACTCAAATGGCTTTTCATCGCTGTGAATTTGTTTATGCATTTCCAGATTTCGCGTGGAAATCGATTTGTAGTGGCACTGGTCACAACTAATTGATGTAGAAAAAAATGTTCCATTATTGATAGCATGCCAAAGATAAAAAAAAAAACAGGTAAGAAAGTCTAAGTTCGGGCGGAGCCGAACATTAAATACCCGTCACAAGTATTAAATATATGATTTCCACCTTCCCGAAAACTACCGCTACATGGAAAGCCAGCCGGGGTGGATTTACCCCTATTTTAAAAACCCTCGATAGAACGTTCAGTTAGACATAATGAGATAAACTTACATATGTATATAGTCATATGTGGGCAATATCACGCGCATTTTCTGAAATTCCAAACAATGTTTTTTGAGTAAATAAGCGTCGTTAAATTTCGAAATATGGAAGTTTAAAGCAATTAGCTTTAATATTTACTTGGTATGTTTTACCAAGGCCAACAACTGTGCCAAGTTTGGAAGAAATTGGGGCAGCGGTTACGCCCATTTTCCAAAAATGTATAATAATCTTATTTTTCGTCTATAAATTATTGTAATTATCAATTTTGAATGAATAACTTTAAGTCGTTACTAAAATGTCGCAGTTTTCGTATTTCTGAATATTACCGTTATATGGGAGGTAGGCGTGGTTATTGTCCGATTTTGCCCATTTTCAATACCATCCTGTTACAAGACAACCGTTATGTGAGCAAAGTTATAATACCCTTGTGCACAAGTGCGCTCGGGTATAAAAACTATGGCAACTTACCTGTAACAACGTTCTCCTTCATGAGTTTTAACATGCATCTTGTAGCTATACCGATCGGGCAAATCCTTGCCGCACCTTTTACATATAATTGGCGTATCAGAATAGTGCAGTTTTTGTACGTGAATCCGCAGGTCCGATTTACGGCTGCATGTCGTTGGACATAGCGCACACTGGAAGACGGGCTTGTCATCCACGCTGTGTATAAGTTTGTGAGCCTTAAGTGAGTTCGATTGTGTAAACCGGGATTGGCAGATATCACATTCGTAGGGTTTCTCGCCGGTGTGTGTGCGCAAATGTCGTTTCAGTTTAAAGCTGTCCGGCGAAGCGTAGGTGCAATGAGGGCACTGGTATGGACGTTCACCAGTGTGCGCACGAATGTGGCGCCGTAACTTACTCATTTCGACGGTAGCATAATCACACTCAGTGCACTTATGACGCTTTTCGAAGGTATGCTTGTATCGAACGTGCCTGGCCAAGTCTCCAGCTGTGGTAAAGCGACTCTCACACGACAAACACGGATGCGGCTTATTTCCTAGATGCACATTCCTATGATTTTGTAATGTGATATTCGTCTTGAAGCCACGATCGCACATTGAACAAATGTACGGACGGTCGTCCGAATGGGATCTCATATGGCGGGATAACATGTATCGTTTATGTGTTCGATAAATACAATGTGGGCACTTATGCGTAATCGTTTGAACAGAATCTGTTGCTTTAACAGGTATGACTTTCGTTAACAACATCTCCTGACCTTCTTGCGATCCAGTTGGTTCCTCCAGCTCATCGAACTCATAGATTTCATCATTTGGATCATCGACGTCTTCTTCCGATTTAGCTTTTACCTTTGAATTTTTTAAATATACCATATAGTTTTTGGAAACAGAATCATTGTTTACCTGTCCATCCTTCGTGCATTTAGCTGCAAAGAAATATGGAATTATTATGTACCTATTAATTTAATGATGGCATAAAA